GCTGCCCATGTCCGCTACTGACATATCTCCTTACAAACGAGTATTGACTGTGGCTCATATGGAAGGGGGTACACAGCGATTGGTGGCCTGCAGGCCTACTGCGGCCTACTGGTCTCAGTTTTGGTGGGCGCAGAGCTGATCCTATTGCTAACTGAAGGCCATGAGGGCTTGAATATCATTGAAACAACAAATAACACCCCCTCCCTGCTCAGGCCGTACTCACAGTATACAGCATCAAGTACTCCGTGTTGCGTTTTGACTTCCCAATAAGAACACTGCTGCAGCCGCCACCCGGCCAACCCTGCCACGCCCGTGCCGCCACCAGCGACGCCACCACCACCATCGCCACCGCCATCATTACCACCACTGCCATCACCGCCGCCTACAACTACTACCAGTACAATTTATCCTCGTTCAGCTGCTACTATTACTTCAGTACCAACGCAAGTGCCATCAACTAATGCTCTACAAAGTCAAGGATGCTGCAGAGTAGCATCTCATAAGGTTTCACAGGTCAACTGAGCGCCCTACCTGCCAACTTCGCTCTGATGCGACATCACCTTGCCTCCTGGGAATCGTAGGGATGCATTACCGATGATTACAAGTACGGCATTGCGGATTGCTGTGTTCTCAGTTATTAAGTTATTAACGTGGTGCAGGCCCTCTGCCAGAGATAAACGAAGAGCAGCCGCCCATTCTTCAGATACTTGGGCTTTTTTGGGGGTTAGCACTCAGCACGCAGCAGGAGGCTGGATGAACCTCACCAAGCGGAACCTAATGTCCCAAAGGACATGCTAGGATTTTTTTAGTTAGGCGCAGAAGGCCTTGCCGTCCTGTCAAAGAGACCACACCTCGCCCTAAGTGGTTTAGAGCTACGAACTTTTGAGTTGCCAGATGTAAATCTTGTCAGGAAATTGCCTGTTAGACTGGTGGGCTTCTTTCCATCGGCCAGCTTCTGTTTCCTGGCCGCCTCATCCAGACCCAAGGGCAAAGAACCAATTGAGCAGATATGTCGCATGGCTTTGCGGGATTTATCTTCCATGGCTTGGAGGGGACTGCCTTGATGTAGGTACGACAGAAACACAGATACACAGTGCGTTTGTGGAACATAGTGGCCTTGGCCTGCGTACTGCCCTGCGAGCAGCAGTCTGGGGAGGGTCCATTCTGACCATAAATCTTGCAAGCAAGGCCACTTAGACAGCGGCTTATGGGGTGGGTGTAAGCCGCTGTCTGTCCATTGTACGGCTTCTAGCACTTGTGCTGTTGATCAAAGCAAATGGTGACTTAATCTCTGGGATGCGAATCCTGCCACCCCTCTCAGTAAGTATCGCAGCAATGCGTCGCAGCAACCCTCTCCCAGAGGAAGTATAGCCAAGGCTTAAGTTAAACTAAGCTCTCAATGAAGACTTGCAAGCTTGAAAGGCTGTACATGGACAGTATCGAGGGCTTCTTCGCAGGGGAGACATGTTGCGCTTTGTTGCCATAATCTCTCGAGGCTCATGTAAAAACACGTTTGCGAAACTAGACTTAGCACTACAAAGCCTCCATGTTGCCCAGCTCTGGTTTTATAAAGCAATCACCCTGGCGCTGTTGCAAGCTTAGCTCCCCTCATTTAGTCTCCGCGGCTAAGGATCTGTCTAGTGCCACGAATGCAGCGAATCACATTCTGGGAAATCCCCATGGACATGTAACAGGGAAGTTGAAGATCCAACTTGTGGTCGAGCCGCCGGGGGGCATCTGCACCAGCAACGGCCTGGTCCTTGCTCAGGTGAAATTTTAAGGGAAGGCGAGTCTTTTGGGATGCCTCGCCTAGTCTGGGCAGATCTGGTTGGCAACCCTAAACCCTAAACCCTGGCCTATGGCTTGGTATTCCATGGTGAGCACTTTCACTAGTTGCAACGGATGATTCTGCTACCTCGCATTTGCTTGCTTTGGCCAATTCGGACACTGCCTTCATAGTTACCAATCCTGCTATTGCGCCTCTCTGTGGTCATTGTTGATAGAAATTCAAAGTCTACTATAGTATTTTATATATACTGTTTCATACTTTACTATGAAGCAATATATATATATATTGTTTACTATAATATATCTGCTTCTAACATGCGTTGTAGAACTACACTTGCCAGGTCTGTACTGTCGATGCCTGAAGACATTTACAACTCAGCATGATGGTCTTCCACACAGGCACCTCGTGTCATCCACACCCTTCGATAAGATTGGGTTTAGGGTTTAGGGTTGCATTTGTTGCTGTATTACCAGAAGAATGAAATCAACCAAGTGCAGAATGAATCCCACAACTTTACATGTCTTTGGGAATCCGTGGAGAAACTTCACTGCCTCGCAATCAGAATTTCTGAGCCCACTGCATCAGAAATTCCGTTACGGTCACCAGGCTCCCACTCACACCTGCCAGGTCGATCCAAATCTTGATACAGGTATGTTGTAAAATGACGCTGCCTGTCAAACGTTTGGTACCGCCGATTGAGATCTCGTCATCTAGAGAAATGGAGGGGTCAATTTCAGCACGAACCTTTGAGTAGCTCAACTTTTCAAAGTAAGAAAGGTTGCTGTACCAACAGCATCCAACAGCCTCGCTTCAATGCAATCGCGTTTTTGCAGATCCAGTCGCATCTCTTCCGGAGTAGGGAATTTTGGGGAGCCGAGGTGGGAGGTATCTGTTCTCGTAGCGGTAATCGAAACAATGCCTCCTTCAACAAAATCCACTGCAGAAACATGCCCCGATGTCACCATAACTGGCCTGCAGACGGTAGACAACAACCAAGGTTCAACAAGGGTCAAATCATGTTACGGACCTAGCTGGCTTCCCGACGGCGACCTTCCACACCGACTAGAACTGCTATTTTGGAAATAAGGCAAAACTAACATTAACAATCATGTAACTAAAAAACAACCGCCTTGTCATGAATTCCAGATGTCACCAACAAATTGTGCGGGGGGCGCTGTGGTCGATCTGGCGCAAAGCCCTCATCTCGCCTGCTGCCAAGTCAACTGAAAAGGACATGTCATCCTTACAATTCCTTACAATTATAGGGGTATAGAGAGGAATGGAAAACAAACAGCAACTACTCTCAAATCATGGAGAACCGAATGGAAGATCCGATGCAACAGGAGATGTTTTTTGGGCTTATCTAGGCACGGACAAGCTAAAGGGAACTACTATAGAATTCAACTACTATGAATGTGGGATTCAGGCCAGCCCAGAGTAAGCTGCCAATTTGGTGATTTTCTGTTTACATATCGAAGACTGTGCGAGCATTCCCCCAGACTTGGTAGAGTTGGGAGGGGCCTGGGCTGGAAAGGGCCGCTGAAACATGCAATGAGCTCGATGCCAACCCAAAGACTGCTTCTCTCAGCAAGAGAGAATACATACGATAATCGTCCTAAGAGGTACGAAGCCTACTTGGGAAGTAGGCCTCCTTATTGTCTCGCATAGCAACAAATCACTAGAGTGTCAGAATATAATCTCTTCATCGTCCGGAAGTCCCCTGCCAACCCTCCTAGTACACTCGTCACTTTTGCTGATCACACGAAGGTTTCCCCAGCAAAGGCTGCAATAAAGGCTCCAGAAGTTAAGACCCAAGCACGAGAAACTTGATGCAAGGTACGGTTTTGCTTGGTACTGTCCAAACACATAGATACCGTCCGATGAAGATGCAGAAGAACCTGGAATGTGTTTAACAGGCTGTAGAGCACTGATCATGACACATTGTACATGCGCCCAAGAAATTCTACTGACACTGTGTCAGTTTGCATCCTGGTAGAGGTCATAGTCACAGGCATCAGGGAACTCCACCATATGATGCTGAGTGGCTTCGGTGTTTTGCTGCCATGAAAGCATTGATTCAAGAAGGGCATCGTTGCAAAACTGAGGGGAAGCAGCCCGTGATGAAATTCATTTCTGTGACATGGCCAAAGGATTGAAAGGTTGCGAAGCAAACTGAATTGTAAACTTTCATCTCAAGTCTTCTTGGTGCAAGTGATACATACAGGGCCCTTGCGTGGCATTCAAAATCTCAAGCAGCGTAGGCAAGCAGGTGAGCTCATTCAGGTAGGGCGAAGGGTTGCAGCAAAATCCCAGAAATTTGCCCTCGCAAGCTCCAACTCCGGTAACCTCCGCACAGAACAGAAATGACTGAAACACATAAGCGTTGCTGAGTACTTCATGACTTCAACAGGATTTTGGACCACAGCACACTGTAACCATGGATCATGAAGAGACTGCAAGGAGAGATTCTTCAGCGATCTCTTGAGCTTAGACATCTTCCCGTGAAGCGTCCTTACGCGCGAGGTCGGGCACCCGCAGAAGTAGAACCTGGTGACTGCATTTGCCAAAGGGCCTAGAAAAAATCCGTATGAAATGACCTCAAAAGCTGCAATGGAAGGCCTGGCCAGCATTCAACCCCCAACCCCGATCTGGAGATGAAAGGTCGTTAAGCAGAGCTTGCGCCAGCTCCGATGCCTAACAGTCACTGCAGTCTGCATTGCAACAGATGGGATTCTACACATCGCATAGTCTACGACCGAGGTCTTCCAAAGGAGGACTGCATTCAGTTCCAATTCGTGCCTTTTGTGGGGCTTTTGCGGGCAGCCTCTTCAGCCCAGTGGCTGTGCAGGTTTTATGACAAGCCTTATCTACAAACACCGGTGCTCAAATACTTCCGCCTACCTTAGTTTCCTGCTTGGATTTCGCTGATGTGTATAAACACTTCCAGCTGGCTCAGACCAAACACGCCCATGTTCTTGAAGCAAGCATGTTGCATCAGCTCGCCTAACTTCCCTGACTTTGGCCTTCTTCGGGCGGCGCATACTTCCCTGTAACATGGAAATTTCAGTGTGCCCCCCTACCTAGCGAGTGGGTACAAACCTGTGTCCCTCACAAGATCTTTCACACACACACACACACACACACTTGTGCACACACACACACACACACACACACTTGTGCACACACACACACACACACGAAGGGACCTGGGGCATTTGCACACCCCTCTACCTTTCAGATCTGGGAAGCTTGGGCCCCGGGCCAGGGACTGCTGTCAGCTGAAGACTCCACGCCCTGATTCCTGCAAGGTTCTGTGGACTCCCAGGTCAACATCGAAAGAATGTGCACTAGTGGGACCAAGCCTGAAAGCTTCACCCTTTGGTGCAAGGAACTTTGACAGACGACATGCATATAGCTCATTTGACCTTGCGAGTCCCTTACAGTATCGCAGTACAGAACGGCATTCACGCGGTTACAGTACACTACAAGCACAATCTATGAGATGTTTTGTCCTTGTGGATTCGGGTGGAATCTTTGCGATGCTGATGGTGCATTGGGTAAATAGGCCATTGTTCCCAAAGCAAACCCACTAAGGAGTATGAAGCACTCTCTACCTGAGCAGTTAAATTCCCTGCTAAGGACTAGGCTGGCACTTCGTGGAGTACCAACAATGCTGCATCACAAGAGCCAATCGCGGGATCGAAGAAGGAATCTACTGAGCCGTTCTCTACATAGGTCTAGGAGCCATGTCTTAATCCCTTGCAAAGTCTCGGAACACTGAAGCACCTCCTGGCTGCTTTGCGAAGCAGAAACCTTGGCAGCGCTCCGTAACTGGCCACATAACGTACCGACCTATTTGAAACGATGTACTCTTTGGACTCTTTGGACGGATATAGATTGTGATGGTTTCTTTGTGGCGATCTATTGACTGAAAATATGGCTGGAGGCAAGTTTATGTTCATGTCTGCCCGGCATCCATGCAACATGGCACATTGAATGATGAGGCCTGGTTTTCCGGCTTGCCGGCAATGCCCATGCCTCTTCAGAGGTTAGCTGAGCCCAGGCTCTGGGTACTTCAGCATGACACACCATCAACCACTAAGGGCTGACCTTTCTGTCCGAGCAACCAACTTTGGAAAGCAGTTCGGCACGGGAACATAAACAGACTTCAAATCTGACTTCCGGAGGACCGTGTAACCTATATTCATTAGCATTAATCAATCTCGCTTCTGATTGTGGACTCTGTGATATGGAGCTTACTGGGAATCCTGCATCTTGAAGCCTCTACATCAAGGTATACCCAACGTGTTCTAATTGAGCCCTGAAAGCTGATTGTGTCTCGGATCCGTGCTTGTTAGTTGCAGCTTTTCCAGCTTTGCCATCTTTTCCGTCTTGCACAGCTCACCCTATAAAATGGTCAAAGCCAGGACCTATACAGCAATGATTTACCGCCCGGCAGCCTTCAGCGAAAAAAACTGTGCTCCTCGACGGGCTTAACTGTTCAGAGAATTGACGCAAGAATTGGCTCCTGAAGAGCTTGCCCAGAGAACTAAGACACTAGGATCAAAACTTAAAGCCCAGGAGTCCCAAACCCTTAATCCTATGAGACTCAGCCCCTAACCTGAACAACTTGAACCATAGCCAAGTAAGCCGTAACCCTTGCCGTGAAGCCTATGGGCCTACAAGACCTGAACCAAAAACCTTCTGAGCCATTAACATATAACTCCACAAACCCTAAAACAAAATCTCGTCCACAAGATTGCCTCTAGAAGAGTCCTATTTCTATCAAACGAAGCCTCAACCGAGAAGGCGCTTGGCGCCGGACGCCTGTCGCCCATCCTCGAAGTATCGGCTCGGCATCTGCGGAGGGGACTCCTCGCGAAAGTTTCATACTTTCTGGTGTAGCGGTCGGGGTCTAGGACGTAGGGCTTCGAGTTAATGGTTTCTGGGATTTTAGGCACCTCAGGTCTGCAGTGTAGGATTGAGAATTGGCCTCAGGAGGTAGGGTAGGGCACCATGAAGAAAGACGTTTCCCTTGTCTCCTACTCGAGACCACAAGGTTCGCTACTGGGCTTCCAAGAGAAGACCGCCTGACATTCTGAATGTCAAACATACACTTGCGTCTGCCGGATGCCCGCTCAAGACTTCCTTCGGCTTGCGGGATCGGAGCTCTGGAATTGCGTAAATGGTGCTGCTGGCGGCGGTGGCGGCGGTGGTGGCGGTGGAAGTTGTGGCCGGGAGGTCGTGGTGGTGCTGGCACGGGCGCGGGTACGGGCACGGGTATCGGTGGTGCCGGGCTGCGGCTAGTAGTACTCCAGCCCCATCCCCCACTCAAAGTATGCTCAGAGGCTTTTGGAACATAGTTCCTGATTCAAATTACGATTGCTGAGTACAACGTGCATGCCTCAATTTGCCATCGTTCCGTCCAACAAACTTACCCGAGGATGACCCATGCAGCACATGTGAAGCACTGCTTTCGTGGGCGTTCCTCTGTAGCAGTCCCTTACGTCTTCAAAACTTGACATCTTGCAGATTGCCAACCAACAGCGTCAGGTTGCAAGCGGAGCACGACGCAAACTATACTAGTAAAACGCGGCGGCCTCTGCAAGACAACGTTCAGAAACCCAACAACTCGCCGCAATCTATTTCTCCACATATTTCAAGAGAAGAGATTTTGTTGACAACATGTTTGGAAACCTTTTGAATTTAAAGCTCTGTGTCTAGCGGAACCTCCTCGCACCTTACACAACAAACGGCAGTATGCCGGCGTGGCAAAGCGTGCAGAATTCGCTGATTGAATACCCATGTGCTGGGGAGAGCGGTTCTCGATTGGAGCAAACCTCGTTAAGGAATTGGATGCCATCATAAGCAATTTCGCCGCGTCTGAAACATTGCAATCAGAAGCACAAAACGTCTGCCTGCGTTCCCAGCTATTGGGCGTGCGGGGACACAACATAAAAGAAACGGAAGGGGGAGGGCGAGTGTATTTGGCTGGCGAGGTACTGATACTGGCGCTGGTACTGGTAGCAGTAGTGGCAGTAGCAGCAGTGGCAGCAGTATAGCAATAGTAATGGCAAATATAATAGCCGCAGCAACAACAGCAGTGTTGTCATAGCAGTTTCGGAGCCAGTGTCAAGACTATAGTCCTGCTGGTAGCCTGGAAGACCGAAGAAATTGATAGCTGGCACGGCCAAGTACTGAGCCTGGGGCACAGCTTTGGCTCCAACAGTGCTCAGACGTTTTGTGCATGAGACTTGTCATGTGCCTAGGTTAAGGGGTACCGGCTGAGTGTGGAAAGTATCGCTGAAAAACTGTCCTGTTGGAGCCAGCATCCGAAAGAACCTCTGGATCCGACCCCAAGATTTCCTCTACAGATTCCTGAAAGCACAGAAGATCAAGCAAACTATGGGCCTCCTGGCGACGCCGCCGCAGCATGAAAAACACAAACCCCGTGTCAAATGCAGAAATCTGCCAGAAGGTGTGCATTCGCAGGAAACTGTTCAAGGTGACTTTCATCTAAAACTGTTCAAAACATACGAATTTGAAACCAGTTGTCAAGGATTTCTGCCTTGATCAAGAACAAATGTTACGAATAGCTCCGGGAAGAAGAGTGGGCGTCGCTACTCAGACGGCTCCTGCAGTGCGCAAGGCTGAAACTGGAAGGGGCCAACAGAAATGCGTCAAGGGGGGAACTCAACACGCGTACGCTTGCCGGATCACGCTTGCCGGATCCAGGCATATTACCAATCGATGGATTCCAACTGTTGCCTGAACAGATGGTGGCGCATGGCCACTTACTGAGTTCGTGGGGCGACTTGCGTGGTACTTCCGTTCAGGAAAGAGATCATGCTGCATGTGACTTGCTCTACTCAGGGCTCAGCATCCACAAACAGGTTCGTGTTGTGCTCCATGCCTGCATGAGTGCCAGAGCGAACGTTGCAGGTTGCGGCGGAATTCTCGTTCAGAAATGGCGACCCTAAATCTAACCTGACCATGAGTAGAGCTCTTGAGGTACAATGCGGGGAAAGCTTCTCGATACAGAATCTGTTTTTCCCAATGGCGGCTCACAGGAGCATCCTCACAAATGTCGATGCCAAAAGAACCAACTTATCCACGCAGAACATGCTGTGAACAAGCCAGCCAGACTGCTCACACCAACAATGCATGTCTGGACATTCCCCGGCGTTCCCTTGCTGTATGCTTGCCATCATGTGAAAGGTAAAGCTCATAACCCATGATAGGAAATAAAGGACCTCCTACCGAAATCAAACTCTCTCGTTGACGCCAATCCCTAGACTAGGCTCTAGACCCCAAATACTTGCGCAGATGCAACACACCTGGTCGTGCATCATGCATGGATGTACAGGAGCGATATTGCATTCTCAGTGAATTGCGGATGTAGGCATCAGGCACTTCAGGGCGCAAGCTGGCAAAGGAAGTGTTCTCATCATTGGGGAGGTCCTGCTCAATCTTGCCAGGAAGAAATCTTCATGGACTTAATGATTCTACTGAAAGGCCCCCTGTCAGGCCTGATCAGACTGGATTTGCGGGTATATGATTGAGCGTAATTCAGGGGAACCTATGAAGGGTATGTTTTGCCCCAAACCTCAATTGACCTTGACGAGCACCATCCCAAAACCTGAACCCTGAAGCCCAGAACCTGCTAACTCCAGAAACACGCAAAACCAAAACTCTGATTACCTGAGCCCTGACACCCTGGCAGTATAAAACTCGTAAAGCCCAAATGTATTCCTTTATCTCTACAGAGTAAACCCTTAGTTAATAGTAGTTTCCATCTTCTTTTCTATGATCCCTAAAAGTAGCCTACAAGACATATTCCCATATTCCCATCCTCTACTAACCCGCAGTAAGTGTTGTTGCAGAGCCTGGCGGTGTAATCAACAGCTTCCGTGATCGGCACTGTTTGAAGAGGGCCACCTGAGCCATCTAAGTAGCGTTCAGGGTTTAGGGTTCGTGGCTTGGGGCTTAGTGTAATCATAGATACATACATATATGAGCCATAGTCTAGACTGCTTGAAGGGGGTTATATAGGGGTTTATACAGGGGACTACTGAAAGGGCTGTGAAGGGGAATACTGGAACATTAGACTATGGCTCATATAAGGCTTTAGTGCTTGATTGTTTGTTTCTGTGTCTAAGGTTCAAGGGCTTCGGGTGTTGGGACTCTAGCTCCATGAAAGCAAGCCCTCGGACCTGCTCTTGTGAAAGATAGGAATCAATCTTTTCTTGTCTTACCGGCTTTTAGTGGGAGTATGGGAATAGATTATATAGGGGATATCTAGGGATGATATTTTCTACTAAGAACCAGTGAGTTGATGCTTAGAAAATGATGGTACAGGAGGACCTACCTTCAAAACACACTTCTGTGCAGACATACAGAGGTTGGGGCATGTCGGGGATATAGGTGCCTTAATATTGATGTTATATTGGGAGAATGGAAAATTAAATGGAAACTACTCTTTAGGGGTTAGGGCGCTTCAAGGTGCTTTGGTGGAAAGAAGACAACCATCCAAAGCCCCAAGGCCCAGATACACTAACGCAAAGACCAACGGACAGCGCCTAATCGGCTTCCAAGCTCTTCCATTGGATCTCTGGATTTTGGGGTCCTCCATATCTTTTGGGAATTCCCATCACTCTATTATAGTCCCCGCTATACCCTAGTCCCTTTGCAAACTAGCTTTACCTGAAGCTCAGGCAATGGCGGAGTGAGAAGGCGGGACCAAGCTGTCCTTCTCACCGTGGATGAACAGCGTCGGGCATGAAACATTGCCTCCAGGAAGCACAGGAGGAATTGCAGAGGTTGTGGGCTTGGCTTTCGGAAAGATGGGCACAAAATGCGGAACGGTCGAATGAAACTGCAGACAGTCACGGGAGAATCGGAGTTGTTTTGCTGCAGGCTCTGCTAGACAAAGCATCCACTACTCACAGCCAAGGTAATCCAAGCTGGAGTTGCAAATAAGAATCAACATAAGTGATGGGGCACCGAAAATCCAAGGAACCAACAGTTCTGTGATACTACAATCTTGCCTCAGTCAGTGTCTTTGGGTTGTCGGAGAAGCATTATCATAATAGATGCTGAATTCTCCAAACTACAAGTGTCCGTTGAAACAGATAGAGTCGGAGCTTCCAAGGCCCTCCTGAAGAAAGAACGTGTGGGAACTCGTGTTTAGAATCTTGGAATGACGCTAGGTACATTCGATATGGCAATGGCTAGAAACCTTGTTCCAAATACCTCAATACCACTCACTGCTTGATCATGTCTATTCATCAGGTCATCAGGGAACTCAACTTCTCGTGGGCCAGATGTGGGTTGAATGACAGCGAGTCTTTGCAGGTTTGTACTGTGATGGCCACAGCGCCTGTCGACACAGGAGATACCAATGTAATCTCACTCCGAAGGTGTTGTGTATACAGGTTCTGCCTTGCAGACGCAATATCCTGATCCCCCCACAATGGAAGTATGCTTGTTTGGCTTCCACTCTGTGATTCAAAAATGTTATAGTTTAGGCTTTGCTGCGTAGACTTCGAGAAAGTGCTCAGTCTACAGCCTCTAATTTTCTGCGTTTGAAAAAGAAACTTGTTGAAGAAACACACTTCAACTGAGATAGGGCTTTGAAAGATGACTTTAAAAATCTGAGATTAATGTTTGCGTTGGCATTCTTTGTCCGAATGTGGATGACGGCAAGTCGGGAGGCGGGCAATCCGGTTACTTCGTTAAGTCCAGAAAAGGACTCGCCTCCTGCGATCCCGTGAATTACTCTGATGTGAAGTACTTTGATGGCGACATAAAGAAACACCCGTGCAGAGTCCTGCATGCAGTTCTCTGCAATGCCAGCCCAGAACCACCTAAACCATATCATGCCATGCTTAAATAGTAAACTTAGATCAGAATCAGGAAGCCGGGTGCCCGAAAAGATGAGCTACACAAGACAACGCAATTGCACTTCGCACAAGGCCCAGTCCTATAAGAGCAATGTTCGGAAAGCGCTCTTCCAGTACCTGTTTCCACGGAAGTGTGTCTGCAATGCATAGGAGCTGAAGGGATGTTGAGGAAGTGGGACCTCATTCGCGAAAACCTTGAAGCTCAAAAATTTGTGGCTTCCTTGTCTTTCAGCCCATGCAGTCTCGACCCGTTTCTCCTGACGTGCTCCCTTGTACACAAATCCAACAATGGTCGGCTTTGCAAGATATGCTGGGCTCGAGCGTGAATGTCCCGGTCAACTGTAGGGCCCACCGCTTCTTAAACCGAAGAATAATAACAGCATGGCCCTAAACCCTTAACCCTAACCCTAAACCCTAAATAGTAGTTTCCATCTAATTTTCCATTATCCCAATGTAACCCCAATATAACCCTAATGTTACCCCAATGGGCTCCAGGCCCCCGTATCAGGTTGTGTGTGCAAAGCCATCCAACAGAGCTGCTTTGTGTACTTCACGGGTCCAATTGCCTGCCCCCAAAGCCCACAGAGTATATTATGAATAGAGTTTCACTGGATTACTACTACAGTAATGTATAAGTATAACCATTAATGGTATTACTATAAGCATTGCACTTGCTACTATGCTCTGACTATCTTGCCACTATTATAAGTACTGTACTCTTCCTATACTATCACTTCATTAGCCAACCGTCTGCGAACCTGACCTGGTTTAAGCTTCTTACGTGAACAACGCAACTTGACAACTTGGACCCTAAGTTGTTTTCCCAGCTTCCGTTCTTTCACACATTTTGGGTGTCTAGGTATGATGTAAACCACTGCAAAATCCCACTTTCCACTTCATCTTCCATGCTCGTGTCCATTTCATTCTCCATCATTGCGGTAAAGCATGTCTCCATATCTCTATATAACCCCTGAATGCCCCTATGGTATTCTCCTAGTCGGTTACCAGCACGCATCATTTGCCAGCTGTAGTGGGATGTGGATATACCAAATTCCATGTAAACAGCAGTGACAGATGCTACAGTACTAGCCCCGCAGGGCTTGAGGACCCCTAAACCCTAAACCCTTTGATAATTTCGGATGTCGGATTGCCAGGTGTCCAGGTCGATTTCACTAACTCAAGCGTGCTGGACCTTACCAGTACCACTACCTTTCCGGCGTAGGGGAGAAATCCAGAAAACTTGGTAATCAGTTCTTCGGTTCCAAACCACATTCGTGCCGAGGGGCATTTGCCACAAAAGGGCCCACAAGCGATTTCGCCGCCTGGCAAGCAAAGTCTCATAGCGTCTAGGCGCTTCGCTGTCACCGGTGAGTGCTAAGTATTGCAGTAGGGGTGGAGGGGCCAAAAAATCAAGGCAGATGTAAGAAGACTTCAGGTGACGTGCTTACAAGACTCCTTAGAAACTTTAGTATCTGCCTCTGAAAAAATCATGCAGGCGGCCATCTGCAATCTACAGGAAGCGCACAATTCCACCAAAAACGAGAGAGTCGGCGCCGAGTAGCGGGATGGACATGTAAGCTTCGCTCGAAGCTACTCATTTTACGTCCTGTACTAAGCCCTGTAACCGGAACCATGTACAATTACCATATTTCATATTCCACATTCACATATTCTCCCCTGAAACAACTTCGACTATTCAAAGACTTCCATAACTCCCTAGTCCCCACCTCACGCACGGAAGCGAAGGCGGCCACCAGGATGAGGCCACCGACAGGAAACCTTCTTAAAACCCTCAGGCTTCCTAGAACGGTTCTGGGCTTTTTGGTCAGGATGCTCAGCACAAGAGGCTCCGGGGGGCCTAAACCAAGCGTGCGGTGTGCGGGCTTTGTTTGGCGGATCTTTGCCTTTCAACTTTGGGATTTGCGAGAATAACAAAGGTGACCCAAGTCCTCTTCGTCTTGTTCAAGGCCATTGAACTCAGAACCTAGCAGAATGCCCCAGCACTAATCGCAGTTTGGTTTCAACGTCAGATTTACTGAAACTTGACCTCCTTCCAGTTCAAGGTGAAAATGACTCGTTCTAGCTTTTCGGATAGCCGCTATAGCCCTTGAACGGAAATTACACCTGAGACCTAAAACTACATGGCGCAAACCTCAGGCCTAGAGCAAACTGCTTATGCGGAAGGCTTCGCAAAGGTTTGGTATGCAGTTTGAGTTCAATGAGACAGACGGCGCGCTGTTTACTCACGTTGCGTGTGCAGGTTCATGACGTGTTTGATGAATGACTGCATCTTCTAATCCTGCTACTTTCACTTCTTCTCTTGCTTCTACTTTGACTTCCTACTTCCACTTCTACTTCTTCTACTACTTTACTTTGACGAACAAAACGGCGCAAATTCAACAATTCTGTGCTACCTTGATTCTCAGGGTTTGGGTCTTCTGCTACTTCCACTTACAGTTCTGCTACAAGGTGCCTGCTTGCCAGGTAGACCGTGGGCCCGGAACCCACGGATCTGCCGAAAAGGATGATCTGCTCGTACCTATGCATCAGTTTGGGTTCAGGGTGGACCCTTCCAGGCAAACATGATGGCATCGGCTACATCTCTGGGATTATGGAACAGTTGATCACAGCTATGGATTCCATTTTGCAAGATCCCTGCAACAGCTTGCCAAATGTCGGGTCTGCGAGGACTGCCCTGCTCTGTTGGCAAAGGATGCTGTCATTTGAAGAACTTGGGGCACTCTTGTCCTGATTTTCTCTTAGCCCTCAACCCCAAACCTCCTGATTTGCTCAGGGATAGACAAAGGCCCTTGCGGATTAAAGAAATATGTTTGAAAATTACAGAACCATTATGTATCTGTATCAGGATATGTGGGACTTGCGATTGGGTTTGCTACTGTCAAGGCCTAATCAAGTCTTGTAAACCGTCTTGAGTGCCTCTTGTGAACCAAGCGTTAGTATCGGCGTAATAGATGGAGCCTCAGTGCTGCGGGCATTATGAAGATGGCCAGAGCAATTAATCTGGCTCTGCTTCCTGCTGCGAGTCTGTTTTTTGGACAGGGCCTGAAACGTGAGGTCCAGTTGCTCGTAATCCCTTGCGCAGCACTCATTGCATCCCTCTAAACCTCCAGGAATCAGAGGCCTAGTGTAGGTATGGCTTAATCAAACTCTAAACACTGAGCTGCCCACGCAACTTTCAGCTCATCCAGGATAAAGCGAAAGGCAGTTAATGCAACCTGGCGCACGCGGTCACGCACTGACAAGTACAGGGCCCGTTCGGGGCTTGAAGCTTCTAGGGATTTGAATGAACAAAGGCAGTTTCAGAATACATGAGTCCAGGGTGCCGTTCGCCAAGCGAGAACACGAATTGCAGGGGGGCATGCTCTTCGACATCTGTTAATCACACGAGAATCACACAGTACGCTGACATCATGCTAGTCGGTCTAGCAAGGCTGAGAATGGTCTGATCAAGACGATACCCAACACTGTCAGTCGAGCAATCATCCTGAGTTGAGAGTACGTTATCAAGGGTGAGCGCCAGTTATCAAGGGACGTGACGTGGCATCATGAATGATGCTTGAGGTGTAAGTAAGTTGGAAGAACAGCCTTTGTCCACCTTTCTTGACTCTCTGCAATAGTTTTGAACATCCACGCACTTCCGTCATGCGAGGTCACAAGGGTACATCATGACAAGCCCAGGCATTTCTTCGTGATGGTGACCTTGATGCAAAGGTTGTTTTTTCGGTAGTCAGCTGGCGCAGTCCAGATTCAGACTTTACGCTACCTTTAGCGTGAAGAAGAGAGGCCTAGATCCAAGGAACGACCTTTGCATCTTCAAGAGCTGGTTCTGGACTTGCTGACAGTAGAGCAGGAAATTCCGAGTGCAGGCGGAAAGCGT